TTACATTTTTCTAACAATCAGTGTCTTCTCTTTCCTGATCATTTCTACTCTCTCCCATCAGTTCCTCCTCCCCACTCAGTTCCCCTTCAACTTGCTTATTGTCTACATGAGAGGACACCTGCAAAATTTGTCTTTGAGAGTCTAGATTACTTTGCTTAGAACAATGGTCTCCATGGCTATTCATTTTCTGTCAGTGACATATTTTTCTTCTTCTTTATGGCTAAATAAGACTCGACCACGTATATAGGCCATGCTTTCTTTGTCCATTCATCCATTTCTAGCCATTGCTGGACATCCAGGCTGAACCTATGTATGGGAGCTTTGTGAATAATGCTTTAGGACACATGGGTGTGTGGCTATTTCTGTGGTATACTAATTTACATCCCTTCAGGTATATTTCCAGAAGTAGGAGAGCTGGATCATATGGTAGTTCTAGGAGCCTCCATGCATAATGAATATTGTAATTCACATTTCCACTAGCAGTATGTTAGGATTCCTTTTCTCAGCATCATTATCAGCATGTATTGTTGTTTGAGTATTTGACAGTAGCCATTCCAACTGGCATGAGATGCAATATTAATTTAGTTCTGACTGATTTTCTATGGACTACAAATGTAAAACATGTTTTCTTTTTCTTCCCACTCCTCAACTCCCGAGACAGGTTCTCTCAGTGTAGCCTTGGCTGTCTGGAACTCACTCTGTAGACCAGGCTGGCCCGGAATCTCACAGAGATACACTTGCCTTTTGCCTCTGGAATGCTGAGATTACAGGCATGTACCCTCCCCCCACAGTATGTTTTCATATCATTCTGAGTCATTTGTCATTCTTCTGAGAACCACCTGTCTGGTAGATTTTATTGATGAGATGATTTGGGTTTTTAATATTTAATTTTGAGTTCTTTATTATCTTAGATATAAATTCAATGTCCACTGTACATATAGCAAAGATTTTTCTCCTGTATTTTAGGCTATTTCTTCACTCTTTGGTTATTCCTTAACTGGGAAGAGGCTTCTAGATTCCAGATAATCTAATTTCTGACTTCTTGCTATTATTTTCTGAGCTATGATAGTCCTTTCCAGAATGTTCTTGCCTAATGTTTCCCCTTATGTGTTTCTCCTACAGCTTCAAGCTTTCATGTTTTACATTAAAATCTTTGATTCATTTTATAACTGACTATTACAAAAGGGTCCTATCTGAATCTATAAATTGCTTTTGGTAGGATGACCATTTTCACAATCATCCTACGGTAAATCCATCTCCTGATATCTTTTCCAAATTTTCTTTGGGTTTTTAAAGTTTTCATTGTACAAGTCTTTCATTTTCCTGGCTAGGTCTTCAAGATATTTTTGAGACCATTAGTATTCAGAATTATTATAGAAAGTTGTGTATTAATTTCTATCATTTTGTTGATTTTATGGTCTTTTCTATCCTAGCATTGTTTATTTGTTCCCTGTGTTTATTCTTCTCTCCAAACTGAAATATTCCTTGTGGTAGCCTCTGTAGAGCTGGCTTAGTAGTCATAGATTCCTTTAATTTGTTTTTATCATGATAAGATACTTTTTTTTAAAATCTTGCATCTCCAATACTCCCTTTCACTCTGTTTCTAATGTTTTAAATATGATACAGCATGAAAACTTTTATTTTCTGGTCTTATCTATCTGGTGTTCTATAGACTTCTTGTACCTGAATAGGCATCTCTTTCTACCAGGTTTGGGAGCTTTTCTTCTATAATTTACTGAACATATTTCCATGTCTTTGCTATGGTAATATCCTTCTATGCCTCAGAGGTGAGTTTTTTTTCATGGTGTTCTCCAAATCTCCATGTTCTATTAGTGTTTCTTTTTATATAAATACATTTTATTTAATTTTAAGTTAGTATACAAAGTACTAGGTTTCTTCATGAAATGTTCATACATACTTCTTTTTAATTTTTTTGAGAATTTCGTAGATGAGTACTGCATCTCCATCACTCCCACTTTCCTTTCCTCTCTCCTTCAAAGTTAATGATCTCACCTGTAATTGTTATTGCTACAAGGATATATATATATATATATATATATATATATACACACACACAAGGATATATATATCTCCATATATATATATATATCTCCATATATATATATATATACATACACAAGGATATATATATCTCCATATATATATATCTCCATATATATATATATATATATATATATATATATATACACATACATACTCCATGGTCTGATTCTTCTGCTCTGCCTTCTACCCTTGATCCTGGTTTTGACATGATTGTTCTGTGGTAGAGCTTTCTGCTGAAGCTTTCATTTGGCTTACTGAGATTTTTATTTCCAGCATTGTTTCAGTTTGGGTTTTCTTTAAAAAATTAAAAATTTATCTGCATGAATTTCTTTATTTTATTCTTATCTCTTTGTTTTCATTGTCTGGGATTTATATTCTTCTCTTCATTTTTTTGTTGAGAAAATTGTGTGTGTGTGTGTGTGTGTGTGTGTGAGAGAGAGAGAGAGAGAGAGAGAGAGAGAGAGAGAGACAGAGAGAGACAGAGAGATGGAGAGGCAGAGAGACACAGAGAGAGAGAGAGTGTGCGTGTGTTTTAACCTATGTGTTGAGGTTTACACATCTAGAGTTAGTTCTTTGTTGAGGTTTTATTTGTTTGTTTCTTTTTCTTTTATTTGTTCTGCTTTTTCTTGTTCTTTTTCTTTTCTTGTTCTAGTCATCTTCTTTCATTACAGGTTACAATATTCAGGATGGGGCTAATTCACAGTAGAGCTAGGATGCAGGTTTCCTGTTTGTCTACTATTTGGGACTATAGACTATCCCAAGACAAGCCTCTATAGCTTGTCTGCTATGGTCTGATGCCTTCAGCAGCTTGATAAAAGGGTTTGAAACAAAATTTTTCTAGGAAAGGATGTAGTCCTGAGTCCTCCTCTAAAGATAGGACAACTGGAGGGCCCCAGCCAGGCAGTTTACAGGGTTTTAGCACTCTGGGTCATATGTGGTGCCTGGGGAGTCCCTGCGGTGTGTGTGTGTGTGTGTGTGTGTGTGTGTGTGTGTGTATGTGTGTGTGTGTGTAGATTGGCTGGGATATGGTGAGTCCCAGAGTGGGGAGAGAGGCCAGAAGCAGGTGGTGGTCCCTGAAAAGCAGCCTTAAGCTTGGGTGATCTGAGTGGATGGGGCCAGGAAGGAAGTGCAGTAGCATAACCTAGTGTCTGAATCCCTGTTGGTGAATAAAGAGTCCCTGGGGGGAGTGTGATGTGATGGGGTCGGGGGAGACAGGCCATAAGGAGGTGCAGAGAGTCCTTGGAGGGGATGAGATGTGATCAGGGAGGGAGACAGGCCAGGAGGAGGTGCTGGTCTCTGGCTAGCAGCAGTTTGGTTACTGGATCTTCATTCCACATGTGATAGCTAGAGCTGAAATACAAAATATTATAGACTATTTGTCTAAATACTGAAAGTTTTACTTATATGATTTACCTATGCTGCTAAGTTATAGACATTACAGTGGTGAATATTTTCTTTTATTTTTGAATATTTTCTTAATTATCGTTTAAAATCTCTAGTTAGTTAATTTCTTGGGATAAATTATCAGTGAATAATGGATGAATCAAAGATATTTAATAAAGTTCTCTAGGGTTCTAGCTTGGCATCTCCAAATAGTTGAGAAAATTGAGCCATATTTTTAACAGTGTCGTTAGAGGGTTGCAAATTGGAGAAGGTACTGGGTTAAGTATACTTAAGGGTGTCATTGTGCTATGGTTGTTGTGGTGGTTCTGGTGCTGGGATGGAATCCCAGGGCTCTAGTACACTTTACTCTGTACCTTCAATTTCTGGAGAACCTGGGATGCAGCTCAGACTTCCAATCAGTTGCTTGATCTTTGGCACCACCTTCTGGGAGATGCACTCATCTGCTTTCATGGTCCCATGTGTGCTACTTGAGTTGAGATGGTCAGACAGAAGCCGCCACTGAGAGAAGGCTTGTAACTGGGGTGAGATGAAGAAGGAGAGTTCTTTATAATTTGTTCTTTATAGTTAAGTGACACGTGTGTAGAGGACAGATGTACAGATCTGGACTACTCAGTAGAGTTAGTTCCAGGTTGCAGTCGGTTATTTCCTAGTGGTCTAAACTGATCCTAGCCGTGTGTGTGTGTGTGTATAGGTCTTGACCTCCATACATTGTCTAGACTACTAAAGCAATATCTTAGCTCTTTCCACATAGAAAGTCAAGGTTCAGCATTGGCTAGGTGCACAGGGCCTTTACCTTTCATCTGCTTGCTGTCTAGAGCTTTGCTCTTTTAAGCATTCATGTGTACCATGCCAACTCCACGTTCAGAGCAAGCCATGTTCTTCCATACCTCCAAGCCTTTGCGTTCACACTCCTCTCTACCTAGAGCTCCTCTGTTCCCCAGAGAAACTCAAAATTTCTTTTCAAGACACTGCTCAAATAGCACCTTCTTAAATTAAGTCTGCCTCATTTTTTTTTCTTTCTGGGAGAAGGTGGCCTCTGACAGGTGCCCTGGTTGTCCTAGACTTGCCCAGGGTACATGGTGTCCACGTATAACTGTCATCCCCCTTATTCAACCTCATCCTGTGAGCTAGCTGGATAAGTGTCTTATTCATATTGCTTAGCAAAGGGTCCGGCATGCTGCAAGTACTTATGAAATATTTGTTGATTGAGTGGATGAATGTGATTCATTATTGTGGACTTTGGAGGCTCACTAATTGAGGGAGGTTGTCCAAGGAAGCTGTTTTTACGGGTGTCCCTGGGGCTAGGGGGTGGGGTGGGATGATGAGCTCTGATTGGAGGCGGTGGATGTATAATGAAACCTTTGTGATTCCTAGGTTTTTCAGGTCCTGGAGGTGGGTCTCTAAAACCAGGAGTGTGACGATGTCATCCCAGGAATGCAGTTAAGGTTTGGTCCTGCTGTAGAAGAACCTGTGGAAAGTCACACACTGGTTGTCATAAATGAGTGGGGCGGGAGTGGGCAGGATGTCTAGCATGGTGGAAGTTCCCCTGCTCATAAGTCTGCCTTTTATCTGATTTCCAGGATCATACAGAGGCTAGGCTGTGGATGCTGAGCAGCCCTGCACCAAGAGCAACAGGTCAGTGCCTCCACTAAAACAATCTTGGGGGTGGTGTGGGCTGTGCTGGGTGTGTGCAGCTCTTAGAGAGCAGAGATCCTCAGTTTGCCTGTTACAGAGAATATGCATAGTGTGAGCAAGGGCTCCAACAATGGAACTGTGGCCCAAAAGTGGTTTTAAATCCCAGAGGACAAGCATGTCTTTGGGCTTCCCCACAAATACAAGGATTTGAGGCCAATTCTATGTGTAGCAGCTGTGTAATTTTGATAAATTCCCTAGCCTCTTTGGATTTCATTTTCCCTCCAGGAGAATAGGGTCATGCTTACCTCCTCAGGGCCCTGTGTGGATGAAATGGGATAATGTTTGAGATATTTTGCCTATGATCTACCTGACCCAGAAGAAGCAGGATGCATGGTTGATATGATTGTTGTTTGCACAGGGTTTAGGGAAGGCAGTTGCTTCCTATTACCTGTACGTCTGTATGAAGTATGGAGTGAGGGGCCTTGGGCATCTGATGGACAGTGCACAGTGCTGTCAGGCCCCAGGATTAAAAGGCTGAAGAGACTATGCTGGGGGTGGTCAACTCTAGAGAAGATAACGTGCCAGATAGTGGTGGGGACAAAGGTGTCAATGTCTGTGCTGTCTGTCTGTATATTCCAATGAGAAATAAAACACATGAACAGCACAATGCCCAGTCTGTGCAGTATAGTTATCCTAATGTTCTGCTGGACCCACCAAGTAGTTTACTGTAGAGGAAGGGATCTTGCCTCTTCAAGGATTTCAACATTTTCATTTTACACAACAAAAACAGTACCTTGCTTCAAATCATCTTTAGTCAGTTCAGATCTTGACTATTAGCAATGAGGAGACCACTCCTGGACTCAGGAGGCCCTCGGTTCCAGTGCAGGGACTCACTCTTAGATCTGGTAGGAAAACTTGTTGAGGGCAGAGTTGAACCAAGTTCACACGGGACCAGCAGGGGTGCGAGGAGTCCCTGTTCTGATGCAACACAGGGAAGTGGCGGGGAGGGCGCGATGTCTCCAGGAGAAAGAATCCCTCCTGTCAGCAGATCGGGTTCTTCTTCCTCCTTACAGAGTCTCCACTGTTCTAGAGCCCCTTGTCTACTCTGCAGATCTGCCTGTACCCCGAGGGTCCATCAGTCATGCCAGACACACCAGTGGAGGACTCCCTCTTCCAAATAATACACTGCTTCCATCACTATGCTGCCCGGGAAGGGGACAAGGAGACCTTGTCCCTGGAGGAGTTGAAAGCCCTGCTCTTGGATAGTGTGCCTCGCTTCATGGACACCTTGGTATGTAGGGTCTGGGGCTGGAGTGGTGACGAAGAGAGAACCAAAGTGCCCAGAGAGTGCTGTGTTTAGGTGGAAGGAGCTGACGCCCACAAGAATCTCCTGTTCCCGAAAGGAGGATGGAGGAGGGAGGGCATGCAGAGGGCAGGGTTTGCTTTATTTCCTGTCCTTCCCTCCTCTGAAGTCACCAGCTTGGTTTCACTCCAGTTCCATGAAGAGCTAATCTCTGATCTGAGACTATGTCCACACCTTCGGATTCTTCTGCCTCCTGTACCCCGTGAGCATGACAGGTTCAAAGCTGTTGTCTCTTCACAAGTGACATTGCCCTAAAGTCAGATTCTCTCTGTGAGCTCTTGGAGCATAAGCCCCGTCACCCGTGTGTCTGCCATGAGCCTGGAGTAGGTAATTTAGGCTGTGGAGGCTGCCCTTGTCAGGTGGGCATGGGAAATATAACCTCTTCCACTTCCCATGCCTAGGGCTTCTTAGAGTCAGATGGGGCCAGCCCTAGATCCTGGGCTTATAGAGCCTGCTCACCCAGTCTGTGATTAGTTCTAATCCCCAGCTACTGTACTTCTTAGAGACTGCAGCTCTGAAGGAAACTGTGGGTGCTGTCTTCTGAAGTCTGTGGTGTCCCGGGGGCTCTCTCATCTGCCACCTCTAGAGGAAGTGAGAACCTGCTCCTTCCTGTAAAATATCTCCTTCACCTACTTCCATGCTTTGAGAAAGAACATAAAGACAACCTCATTCTTTCTGGAATGTTCCTTTGAGGGCTTAGAAGATAGCCAGGATAGGAGTTCCTTGCTAACTGTTTTAAGGAAATATTTCCCTTCCGGGAAGAACTCCTTGGGGCTGCCTTGGATTGCCCAGGCCTGTGATCATAGAACCCATAGTATAGCCTTTGCTGCAGGGCTCTTGGGGGCAGACACAAGGGCATGGTTGGTAGACTTGGTAAGGATGAGCGTTGATAAGGGAGCTGAGGAGAGCCCATCAGATGGAGAAAGATTTGTACTCTGGATGTGATGGGGTTACAGGATGGTGCTCTGGTAAGGGAAGAGAAGCTGCTGATTTTCTACAGGGATGAGGAACTGCCCTCTAGGTCTGCAGCTACTTACAAATGCATTACCTTCCTTCCCTCAAATGCTTCCTAGATGTTTCATTCTGTGCTTGAGCATGCCCACATATACCAGAAAAGTCTTGCTGAAACCAGATTTCCCTGCCCCTCCCTCATTTTCTACCATGTCCTCCCATCTCCATCTGCCTCATATCTTCCTTGTAAACAAGAACCCTGGCTTTCCTCACACTCCTCTCCCATCTCAAACAGCCCTTTCTTTTGCCATTTGGATCTTTAGCCTCAGGGTCCTCTGCTTGAATATCCTGGGCAGCTCCTGTGGCCGTTTCTTGCCCTATTCCACTTTCTGCACACGATAGATGAACCAGGTAGAGTTTCATAAATAATGCCTAGGTAGATAGCACAGCATGCAGATTACTGCCCTACTTGGAGATGGTTCTGCTGGAGATGTGTGTGTGCAAGGAAACAGGTCGATCTTCTCCTTAAGGAGCTTTTGGTATGGAGAAAGAAGGCAATGTGTTGCCTTCAGGAAGCCTGTACAAGCATCTCTTGTGGAGAGCTTACAGTGCATCTGGAAAGACAGCACAGACACTTCACTATATGTGAAGTGGTTCTGGGGACTCCAGGCCGCTGAGTTCAATTCAGGAATTACTTACAGTTCTCTTTTGAAAGGGCTATTTTTGGTTTCTGTGCCTACGCCACTCTAGGTCCAGTGACCCAAGGTGTCCATCAACACCAGTGCCTCTTCAGCCTGATTTTGTAGGATGTGGTGTGACCTTGTCATTGATACTCATGCGAGAACTTGTTTCCCTGAATGCTCCTTGAAGGGGGACCATGCTGTTGTAATCCCCTCCATCCCCAGCAGGAGGAGTCTGGAGGACTGTGTGTACTGAATGCACACTGTGTGTTGATGCTCTTCTTTGTGTTTGGCAGGGCCGCAGGCAGCCGTACTACGTCACAGAGCTGTTCCGCGCGGCTGACAAAAACAAGGACAACCAGATCTGCTTTGATGAGTTCCTGTACATCTTGGGCAAGCTGGTGAAGGACTATCATCTCCAGTTCCACCGGCAGTTGTGCACACACTACTGCACCCAGCACAGCCTCTACTAGAAGGAGGACAGGCAGTTTCTCACCACCAGAACCTCTCCCGGGAGACATGGCCTGACCATGAATAGATTACAGAACTCAGCAATGTATTTCTTCTTAGGTGTGCACACATGCGTACAAGCAATATCACAAATATTTCTGGGAAGTACTCAGGGCATGGTTCTTGGTATCCCTTAATGTTCAGTAAAAGAAGTTCAGTCTTTATTATCAGAAACATCATATATTATCAGGAGCCATGGCTCCTGCCTTTAGTGATCCCTTGTTTAATGGAAGAATACTGGCCTTGAATCCAGGGTGCCCTTATCTGATTCAAGAGACCTGGCCTTGCTAACAGAATTCTTATCTGAGGTATGAGATAGCCTGCTGTCTGGTCTCAGACTGTAAGGTAGGGGCTCTTCTCTGGGCCAAGGCACCCTCTGAGAAGGAAGTAAGACCTCCCAACGATTTTTCTGACTGATCATTCACAGCAAATGCAGGACATGGGGAGGGGAGCCACACAGATAATGGCACACAGAAGGAGTCCTTTAGTGAGTCTGCACACACAGGAGATTGGGAGGACAGGAGATGCCCAGGACCAGGAAGGGGAGGAAGAGGTGTTTCAAGACAGTACGATAGCACCAGAGACCCAGATGGTATGTCTGGAACAGCAGAGAGCACTCTGGAAATAAATGTCCAAGGGGAACATGTGAGCTTCATTTACTCAGGAGGACATTGAGATTTGGATTTTTATCCTTGAAAATGGTGTAGTGTAATTTGGGTACCTTGGAGGATGGATCACGTGGGGAGAAATGGGAGACTCAAATAAGGGGTTCCTGCCTACTCTGGACAGGTGCAGTGTGGACAAGTCAGGGACACAGGGACATAGGGACAGAAGAAAGGGAAGAGGCAGGAGAGAAATGTGAATGTTGAAGCCTTAGTCCTCAAGGACATATTTTTTTTGGGGGGGGGGTGTTCCAGAGTGAGATTCAGGTATCTGCTGCTGCTGATCCTGAGAAGGTGATGCTAGTTGTTGACCTGCCCATGACCCAAGCCACCGTGGAGCCAGTATGCTAGGGAGCACTGTCCACTGGCTTTTGTGTATGTTGAGTCAGAGAGGCAAGGCAAGTGCCTGCAAAGCCAGCAACCTAGCCCAACAAAGCAGCAGATACCTGCTACGGGAAGAGTTGATGAACAGAAGCTGGGAGTTGTCAATCATGGAAGGCTTCTTGGAGGAAAGAGTGGCTGGGTGTGGTTGTTACTAATATAACATGGTGATGACTGGCATTTCTCCTGATTCTGAGCTATTCGTGACTCAGTGGGCCCAGTCCTGTGGTCCCTGCCCTCCCAACTGGTCCCTGTGGCTGCCTGGTTGTGTCATTTTTATTTTTCTTCCTGGAGCCCAGAGATGAGGGAAGACTCTTACAGGAAGGGTTTCTCTGCCCCAAGGCACTGTTAGTGTCCTACTTGGTGGCCTGTCTTTTCTGAAGACTCTGGGCAGAAAAGTTTATATTCCTTTCCCCTCAAAGTGTAGTCCCATAAAGGGCATACCTCTGTCTTTCTGCAACTGGCCTAGTGTCCTCACACCATTGGTTCAGCAGGTTTTCGAGGAAGGAAATCAGGAAGGGGACCCATGGAACTGAAATCTAGTGACTTAGACCTATGTCCCTCCTATGACACCTCTTGATTACTTCTTGTTCATATCAAAGATCCAGTATCCTGGGTTACTCAGCTGCTCTTGCTCAGGGTCCAGGCAGGTCCTGCTGGTTACACTGACAGGTGGTGGGTTGCACTGACCTTTCAAGGTCACAAAAGCTCTGGCAGTTTGAGCACTTGGCACTTACCCAATACTTCCTGATCATTTCCCCACCAGTGCTGCTTCCTCTGCCCAGGTTTCCTCAGAGCTGACTGTTGAAACACAAGCCTAGGGTCTTAGTCTTTTCCTGTAAACACAGCCCTGCCACTCTCATCCTAGATTGCTCCATATTGTCAGGTAATTACAAATTTGGCCTTTTCTCCAACATGCTTATTTACTTCTTGCTATTGAACTTGGAGGTCATAACCAGTGCCCCAAAGTCAGGTCCAGCCACCTATCCCCAGTAAGCCAGTTAAAAGAGCAAAATTACAAGGGGGAATTAGAGAAAGGTTTATTCATGTGGCCATGTTGGAAAGAAGGACAAAGAAACCCAATGAACTCACCAAGTTCCTAAAGTAAGCTGGAAATGTACATGGAGGGCCAAGGATAAGTATGTCTAAGCAGTCCTAGTCAAGGTATGGTCCTGCCCATCACTGATCCTGTAAGGCAGTCTGACAAGTTGTTAGAATGGTGTGAAGTCTTTTTTTCTAGAGACAGGTTCCCCCTCTGGCTGGTGCCTTTCCCTTCTCCCACCATGAGATCCTTGGGGAACTTCCTATTTCTTTGGAGTTCATTGTTTCAACAGTCTGATAGTCAGATTGAGAGCCACAAAATGTTTCTTTAGAATGTCTTCATTTCTGCCAAGCCAGTTATGTTCTCAGCACACACATGTGGCTGCTGCTGTCAGACAACCCTGCTGCTCACTTAGAGGGAATGCTATCTGGTGGTGAGAGTTCATGGACCCATGCACTACTCATCCTACTGAGGATGCTGGCAGAAAGCCCTCACTCATAAACACCTTGAAGTTCAGTGAGCCCGAGGAATTATGTTGAGTAGCACGTGTGCCTCAGTTTCCTTATGTTTTATATAGGGAACATTTTACTTGTAAAGTTCACTCTACTAGACTTCTGAGCAGATGTAAACACACTTTGAAAAGAGATGAGTTGCTTTTTGGTAAGGTGGTGAATGCATACTCACATAAAACCATGCCTGGTGGAGAACATGTATGAACTATGGGCTGATTATGGGTTGGAAAGTTGTGATATAGCATAGAGTTCTATTTTGCTAGCTAAGGGTCAGCTTACCTCTTATCATGGTGGATGTATACCATTCCCTCTTACGAAAGAGACTTATTGGACAGTGGATAAGGGCTTGTGAGGAACAGAGGAAAGAAGATTAATTGTACTGTTGGGGAGATGGATGGAGGGCAGGGTGGAGGAAGTAGATGCTACCTTAGCTGGGTAGTTAAAATAAGAAAGTTGTCAGGACAGAGGCATTGTAGGCTGTGGAGGAAATAGATGCTGTCACATCCCATCCTAAGCCACCTCCATCCTGGTGTCTCTTGGAGGGCCTCAGTCTCCTCAGTACAATGGGGTCTGTAATGCCTCGTAGGATTGAGAGTTAAGAGGGCTTATGTAAGTAAAGCATTGGGGGAGTCTCCACAATGGTACACACAGTACACACCCAGCAATTGTCAGCTATTAGCCTCTATTATTCACTGTTATAACAGTTGTGGCTGCTGCCTTTGTGCACGTCAGGCACTGTGCTGGCTTGTGGTCAAGTGAGGCAAGCAGAAGGCTTCTCCTTGGTCTCTCTGGAAGAACAGGCTGAGGAATCTAGGCTCCTGTATCTATGACACTACTAAGAAGTGATCAAGGAGTCCCAAGAAGGAACATATGTCCAGATCATTAGATTTCAGCCACACAGCCCCACTTCCTGCATTACTTCCTGAAGCACCTGATGAGCCTGAATTAGCATTGGACCAGATGCAGGGACTTGGTTCATTGATTCGGATATTAACAGTCTGACTCTGGAGGGCTCAGTGTCCAGTTACAGGATCAACTGCAGATGGCAACCTTGCCCTCAGTTCTCTCTCTCCCGTTTTTAAGGCTCATTTTGTATGGTTTATTGTGTATGTGTCCTCTCTCTCTCTCTCTCTCCCTCTCTCTCTCTCTCCC